GGTGGATTCATGGCCAGACTTCAAAATGGTCCTGACCCGGTCACGCAGAGAAGTGCGGCCTTTGCTGGGCCCCTCCCATCTGCCCCACTCCCCTCCCCGACCGGACGCCATCGCTCCCCTCACCCGCCTGATGCCATCACTGTCCCTCTCCCCTCCCCGCGATGCCATCAATGCCCCGCTCCCCTCCCCCACCTTATGCCATCATTGCCCCGCTCCCCTCCCCGACTTCCTTGCCCCTTTCCCTGCTTGGTGTCATCTCTACCCCTCCCTCTCCTGTCTGCGCCACGTGCCCACAGCCTGACTCCCCCTCCTGCTGCCCAGACCCTCTGTCCCATTCTGCCCTAAGCCCACTGGCTCTGTTCACGGGGCCCTTTCCCCCCTCCTCAATCTCTTACTTGGGGCTTGCTGTGCCCCACTCCCCCGATGACATCCCTGAGGGTCATGGGGGGAGGGGGCAGAGGCTGCGCTCACCCACAGTGTCCCCCCTGCAGGTGGCGCGGGACCCAAGCGATTATTTCACCAACTTGTACACGGCCTTCTACCGGGACGAGGGTGCCTGCCAGGCCCTGCTGGAGAACAGCTGTGCCATGAACTGGGGCCAGGCCTTCCAGATACAGGGTGAGCCCCTCCAGCACCTGAGACATGGGGGGCGGAACCACTCCCCCCCAAAGGCCAATAGCCCCAAGTATCCTGCCTGGGCCCCTTCTCCACCAGACCCGGGATCCTGAATGAACCAAGCTTGAGAATCCCCAGTTGGGTCATGCCGGCCCACAGTGGCCCTTGGCCCCTCCCTGCTGCTCTACCGCACCGGGCTGGACCCCCCACGTCCATGGGCACCTTTTAGGGGCCCCTGCTGACAGCGCACGGCTGTCCCTACAGGGCTGCAGGACGGGGTATACGAGACCATCAGGGACATCACCAGGGCCAGAGGGCTTGAGATGGAGACGTATCTGTACCAGCTGCTGCTGCACCCAGACCCGCCTGCCATGCCCCAGTACCGGTAGGTGCCCCCCAGATATGGGGTGTGTGAGAGAGAATGGGGCAATGTACACAACCAGCCAGTGCTAGATGGAGGGGGGAG